CCCCCCCCCATCACTGTAAATGTATCCAAGTTAAAATTAAAATAGATCTTTTATGAATTCAGTGGACATTGAGACGTTCTAACCTTCTCGGCTCAGTGGGTGTGGACAGAAAACCTTGCCGTTTGGGCAGGCAACTTTTTCACTTGAGATATATATACTGTTCTACGATTACTTACCAAACTTGATGTGGCCATAATTGAGGAACTTGTTGGCTATGGCGGTGACGATGAGTCCTAACACACGAGAATTGTAAAATGTGAGGTAGATAACCCATAACTGTGCTAATCCGATCGATGTGAAAAACCAAAATAGTGTCGACTTCGGCAGTTCATTTATCAATCTCTGTTCGATATCGATACCGCCTTCCGTTATGTTGGTTAAGTCAGACATTTTGGTCGATGGAGGTTTTTCCTCTAACAATCGCTCTGTCTCAACTCAGATAATCGTCTCCAATCAGTACAGACATTCCTTCTCCTGTACCTTGGCTGCAGCTGGTCCATTGATCCGTCGGTTTGCGACATATTTAGATAGAAACTTCATCCATTTAGATAAACTGAGGACATATGTACATACTTTTGTAGACCGTAATTTGGGATTGTCTTGGGTTTGCAACATTCAAATCCAACCATGCAATTAACGAAGAGGTTTGCATGGAATAAAACATACTTTTACTCTGCAGCGCTGATGAAGTTTACGGAAGCAGACATCTTTGATAATCGGAAATGAAGGGCGATAACTCTAAATGAACCTAGCTGCGGTGTTCGCCGGCTGGAATGCCCCGCCTTACATCTACATTTTTCACTGTTCTGTCAATCAGTTGACCGTTACCAGTGTTTGGAACGAATTGTTTGAATTGCGGACAATATTTTTAAATTAAAATTCAACACGTAGTTTGCAACATCTACCAAAAATTAATTTATATCATATTGTCACGATTTCTTCTTTTTGAAGTACCGAAACTACCGGGTACCGAAACGACTGCACCCCTTTCCGCCTACGGTTATCGAGGTCCGCTTCGCCAGTAAAGCGAAATAGTAGTCACAGACTAGGCCTACTTGAAATCTGCCACATACAAAATGTCACTCCGGGCGTATTATACGTCTCTGCTCCGGGCAAGCTCAGGAATCCTTCTAGAGGGATCTTCTCAGTGTCAGTAATAGTCGGAGTAAACGCAGTCAAACTAATTTAGTAGAAATAAATTATTCAAATATAGCAATCTCAAGCTTTCTCTTGCACGCAATTATACGCTAATATATCTTTCCCAAATTAATCAATAAATTACGAAATAATATAAGTCAATAATAAGAGTAATGCAATTGTAACAAGTAAACAGTTAACTATATACAGGGACAGTATACACTAAACGTCCCTGCTATATAGTATTGGAAATTAACACTAAATTACTTATCACTCTATTATATAAATTAAAGTATATGGGTCTGCCTTTACAATAATTAAACTTAGCAAACTGCTACAGTGAATTGGTTCTAAGTGATATTGTCTATAATAGACTATTGGAGCTATCATGTCCGTGATAACACAGGACAGCAACAATCCTAGTCAGGAAGATAAACTATAACGTATTGGACTATTAAAGGAATATGTGCTAAACTCTGGCTATCAAACGTTGACCACAGAAAATGATGTCAATACAATGTTAACTATTAGATTAGTCACTTCTTGCCTAAAAGACACTGGTGATAACACCGGGAAATATCCCATCAATATTCACTTACATGTACTGCGGACAGTACTGGAGAAGACAAAAGTGGTCGATGAGCCTGAAGAATCGTTAATAATAACGTTAAACACTAGAAACGGTTGAAGCTGTATCGAAGTTGTATACTCTTTCTTTATTTCTCTTTCTAACCTCTCAAACGTAACTTTATCCTGTTAAGTAATTTTACATTAGAGTTTTTCCTCGCCATTTTTATATGATGGACCTTTTTCACTCATGATTCAAGTCTTTGTTCCCTTACGCTGCAGTTTTCATCGTTTGGTATAATACATTTACATATATAGATGTGTAACAAGAAAAGGAGAAATGCAACGGCCAGACCGGGGTTTGAACCCAGAACTCCGAACTCTAGACGGACGCTCTCACCAATTCAAGAGCTACCTGCATGTGCATCCCTCCAACAAAGTCTTCGACCCCGATCCATGGGTATAAGGAAAAAGATGAAATGTAAAGGCTAGACCGGGGTTCGAACCCGGAACCCTTCGATCTCTAGACGGATGCTCTACCAATTGAGCTACCTGGTCGTCGACGATCGCTCCAGTCCAGTTTTGCTACCTCCCCCTCCCTCCTCAAAGTCCTCGCCCCCGAAAACACAACTATTTACAACCAGAATTCGGGTATCCTTTTGCTAAACGTACTCCCAATGCTTGAAACAAGGGTTGGCATGCTCGCCAATTTTGCAACAGGAGAACGAGAAAATGTAACGGCCAGACTGCGGTCCGAACGGCATATTTACCGAAAGTCGATCTAAACCCCTAAAACATATAAAATTACTCTGAACAACTTAGTATAGGTCCAAATATAGCTGTAACAAATTATCAGGTCACTGTTGGGTTGATAACTTTTTTGGTACTTTTCTATTTCTAAACGGGGAACATAAAAGTATAGATCAAGTCTTTGTTCCCTTACGCTGCAGTTTTCATCGTTTGGTATAATACATATGCATATATATTCGAGACTTGTCTCTTCTTGAACCATAAGAAAATTCTTCGTATGTTTAACCGTTCTTCCTAAGATCCGGTGGTTTTGCATACAGTGTTCAATTATTTCACTCAACTCTGTAAAGCTCTTTTGGCAGTAACTGCACTCGAAATTATCCATCTGAGTGAGAGAAAAACGTTTATTCCACTAACAGATAAAACGTAATAATCCAGTAAACCATACAGTAATTTAAAGACGCTAATCGCTAATAACATACAGTCTGGTTGCTAGTATCCATACAGTAGCATGTCCAACGATGCTATTTACAATCATTGTTTATTTTATGTTTAAAAGCACAAATGCTTTCGTTAATCTGTGTTTTGAATTTATAAATCATTGAATTAAAAAAAAAATACATAAACAATATGTCAATCAAAGGAGATCTGTGAGTTAATTATTGACATAATCTTTGAGATTGTCGAACTCGGGCCGTGATAACCTCACTGATTCGATATATTTTATTGTACTTTTAAGTTTCATTTCTGGAATATTTCAAGTTCGTAACGAAGGTTGATCTACTAATACACTATTTGTTTTGAACCTACCTTCGTAATGATAATAGGTTACCGACAACATATTTACAATGTATGATCACAAGCAAGCTGTGGTCTTCAATAATCTGCCTCGCTTCGGCGATCGCTATTTCCGGACCAGTGCCGTTTAACCACAGTGAAGTGTATCAGGGGCGGATCCAGGTTTTCGTTTTCATTTTCATCTTGCTCATATCTTTGAAAGATATTGAGTTGACAGACGCTATGGAACGATTAACCATTGATGAAATTGCAGCTTTTTAATTCTCCAGTTATAAATGTTGCAAAAAAAATGTATTTCGAATAAAACGATTTTAGTAAGAAGTAATGAACCACAATGGATGCATAACGAAATTAGGTACTTAATTAGGGTCAGGAAAAGATAACATAGAAAAGCAAAAATATACAATATCCGTACCATCGGCAGCAATTTAGACAAGCGAGATGTAGATGCTATTAGAAGGGCAAACAATGAATGTACTTTAAATGTCTACTTCAACACGAAATTGGGTGGAAACTGATGAGGGGGGAGAGGTCATAATGTGGGAGGAAACAGGAGTACCAGGAGAAAACCCACGTGGTTGGGTAAGTGACCCAATACCTTTTCACGTCCGATCGAGGAATAGGACCCCGGTCGCCTCGGTGAAAGGCATGTGCACTATTCACAGGATGAGGGTCCAGTAGCTGAGTAGATATTGATAAGGTCAAAGGTTATGAGCCTCCCTGGTGTGGTATCTTCAGACAGCAGTTGGGATAGTTATAAATAGGTGTGTGGTCATTCTGAGGGATTTTGAGAGACTGGTGTATTAATAGGTATGAGGTCATTACTGGGGTAAATGGGAAGGGCCTGCATATTTAATGAGTTGGTCAGTTGCTGGTATTAAAAGATTTTTCTAGCTATACATCTTGATCTATTATTAGACATCATCCCTGTATTTAGTACTAGGCGGTTTCCATAGTTTGTATTCAGATGTAGCTCTATATTTAATTTATCTTGTCTCTAGTTATATATAGTATATGATGTCATCGGCTAAGTTTAGTATGGATTGGAGTATATTTAGTATATGATGTCAGCGGCTAAGTTTAGTATGGATCTGAGTATATTTAGTATATGATGTCAGGGGTTAAGTTTAGTATGGATCTGAGTATATTTAGTATATGATGTCATTGGCTAAGTTAAGTATGGATCTGAGTATATTTAGTATATGATGTCAGCGGCTAAGTTAAGAATGGATCTGAGTATATTTAGTATATGATGTCATTGGCTAAGTTAAGTATGGATCTGAGTATATTCAGTATATGATGTCAGTATCTTAACGTTGTACCTATATAAAGGATTGTTAGGGAGTTTGTCGGGCGACCAAGAGTGGGGCGATCAAGAGTGGGGAGATCAAGAGTTGGTCGGAGGAATTAAGAGGTTGTCGAGAGATGAGGAGTTTTTGTTGAGAATGGAGTTTTTGAGTAGATTGAGAAGAGAAAGGGGAGTCTTGAGAGAATCCTTTGAGAGGATTAGTAATGACTCAGAGAGTATTCGGTAGACTTGTGAGGAGTCTAGTGGAGTAATTTGTAGTGTATAGAATATTAGTTAGTTGAATTAGTTGAATTAGTGTAAACCTCAGTTGTTATTTAGTTATATTACTTTTGAGTGACATTTCCGGACGTATAGTAAGTTGGTCTTAACTATATGTATTAGAAGGAATATCAGTCTTCTTCATTTGATCTTAAATTGGATTATTTCTAAGTGTGTCAACTTTATTTGGATTACAAATTGTCCTCCTGGAATACATTTTAGGTAACTTTATTCACTTGAACTTTTGGCAAATACATTGATTAAATTCCTGTTCATAAAACTTTAGTTAACCTTATGAAAACTTGTATGTTGTGTTTTTATCTCTAGCATTTGTCAGAACGACTGGACTTTCATTTAACATAGAGGAATTAACAATTACATTAATAGCGAGATGGTGTCAGAAATGGAAACGTAATAAATTGGTGTCAGAAGTGGGATGCCTGAAAACGTTCCAAATTAGATATTTCTAAAGCTTCAAGACCAGACAACATGAGCCCAAGATTTTAAAGGAAGCAAAAGAAGAAGCTGTTATTACAAACCTCACTTTTTTTTTAATAAATCTTTAAACTTTGGTAAATATCATTGAATACGGAAAATTGCAAATGTCAAACCAGTATATAAAAACGGTAATACATACAATGTAACAGACTATAAACCTATATCTTTAATAAGTATTGTTGGTAAACTAATGGGAAAATGTATTTTCAAACATGTATAATTTTCTGAGGGACACAAACCTATTCAATAAAAATATAAAAATCAATCTGGCTTCACACTTGGGAAATCTATAATTAACCATGCCGGTAAAGACATTTTAGCAGTATTTTGTGACATAAGTAAAGCATTTTACCGAGACTGGCATAAGGGGTTCATCTATAAATTATA